TCCTAATGCAAGTACTAAAACCAATATATATATATATATATATATATATATATATATATATATATTTTAGTTTGAACCGAGCATTTCATTATGATTCTATTAAGATGAGTCAATATTATTGGAAACAAAGATCTAAATGCCACTGGCTTACCAAAGGAGATCGGAATACAGGTTTCTTTCACAACTTTGCCTCATCTGAAAGAAGGAAGAACCTCATCTGTTGGATTCGTAGAGATGACAGTACCTGGACTAATGATCCTTCTGAGATTGGTAACATAATTAATGATTACTTCAAAAATTTATTTACTTCTACCAATCCAGATTTGTCTTCCCTTGATCACACCATTGCCCCTCGGGATATCACAGAAGCTGAGAATGACCTCACTAGAACTCCAACGATTGAGGAGATTAAAAGGGCTCTCTTTGACATTAGCCCTCTTGAAACCCCTGGTCCAGACGGATTATCATCGGGATTCTTTCAATCCAATTGGGAGACTGTGAAGCAAGATCTGGTGAATTTTGTGCAAGATCTTTTCTCACCCCCAGAATATTAAAAGAATGAATGAAACTAATATAGTTCTCATTCCAAAGAAAGAAGAGGTAGAATGTGCAACTGATTTCAAACCCATCGGTCTCACTAATGTGATCTATAAAATTGTTGCAAAAATCATTACAATAAGACTGAAGTCCATCATTCCCCGTCTTATCTCTCCTCTTCAGAATGCCTTCACCCCAGGAAGAAATATTCTTGATAACAGAATTATTGCCTCTGAAATCATTCACACATTGAAGAAAAGGAAAGGTCGAGTAGGAGATTTCCTCGTCAAACTTGACCTCTCTAAGGCATATGACAAGATTGAGTGGAGTTTCTTACTAAAGGTTCTACTGCTCCGGGGTTTCTCTGAAAGATTCTGCAACGTAATTCTCCACTGTGTTACTTGTGAAAATATGAGAATGGTTCTTAATGTTATTCCTGGATCCCCAATCCAACCAGAACGTGGTCTCAGGCAAGGATACCCTCTCTCTCCCTACTTGTTCCTTTTTTGTCTTGATGTTTTATCTAGACTACTTCTTAACAGTATTGTAGAAGGTAACCTCAAGGGAATCAGATTAGGGTCCTGTCATTCCGTGATTAACCACCTCTTTTTTGCGGACGACATGATTATTTGTGGGAGAGCCACATTAGAAGAACTTAACAACATTCAAGACTGCCTACAAAAGTTTTGTAACTGGTCGGGACAGCAAATTAATTTGGAAAAGTCCTCTATCATGTTCAGTCCTAATGTCCACAGAAGAATCTTTAGAATCCTAAGTTCTTTATTGAGAATTAGAGTGATCTTTTGCAATGAAAAATACCTGGGCTCCTATCTGGAAGACAAGAAATTCAATAGAGATAATTAGCAGGACTTTATTTAAAAAATCTCTCAGAAGGTTAAAGATTGGAAATCCAAGCTTCTCTCTCAAACGGGAAGAGGTATTTTAATTAAAAGTGTTTTGCAGTCTATCCCAATATATACCCTCTATACCTCACAAGTGACCCAAAAGTGTGCAGACCGTATTAATGCCCTTCTAAGAGACTTTTGGTGGGGTTATAATGAAGGTGATAAGAAACTCTATTTAAAGGATTGGAACTCAATAGCCAAACACAAATATATGGGGGGTTTAGGATTTAAAGACATCAAAAAGCTTAATGTGGCTCTCCTCATGAAACTAGCTTGGAGATTTTTGTCTTCAAATCAGCTTTAACCCAAGTTTTAATGGGAAAATATATGAAACATGATCAATCCTTTTGGACTTTGAAGAATAAGGGTGCAATTTCAGGTATCTGGGTTGCTATTCTTTCAAGCAAAGAACTAATTATTCAAAATATTCATTGGATGATGGGTAATGGTTGAAATATTAATGCCACTGAAGATCCATGGCTGGAAAACCGGAGCCCTAGTGACTTAAAGAAAGCCAACATTCACTATTCTGGTAAGGTCGCTAGATTAATTGATCAGAACTCATCCCAGTGGAAGCATAATTTGATTAACTCACTCTTCCCCCCTGAGGTTTCCGAAGCAATTCACCGTACTCTCCTTCCAATTCATGGCAATCTACATCCTGACTTACTAGTTTGAAAACTCACTCATGGGAAATTTACTCACTCCTCATGGCAAATTTACTCTCTCCTCGGCAAGTAAGATCTTAGAGTCTACTATCCCTCAACATTCAAACAGTCATATGATTTGTGAAGGTCTCTCTTGGAATTCCTTCTGGACCCTTAAAAATATTCCACCCCCCGGGCCCACCTTTTCTTGTGGAAATGTCTAACAAATTGTGTTCCAGTCAAAGAGATTCTTAACCAAAAGATTAACAAGATTGATCCCACTTGTGAAATCTGTCACAATGCAAATGAATCAATATCCCATGTTCTCTTCCAGTGCCCCGCAGTTACAAGTTATTTGGTTTGCTTCCCCCATTGGTTTAAAAACAGCTACCCACCCGGATTGGTCTGTCAAAGAATGGATTAAACATTGGTTCTCCTTGGATAACCCAAAAGATGATTCTGAAATTTAAATGCTTGCAAAAGGAGCATTTAAATTGGTGATGAAAAAGTCTCCTTTCGACCCCCTTGTGATTGTTATTCCAATTGCTATACCTATGCAGGAAGCGCAACAAGCTTCTAACCGTGACTCTGGGTTCATCACTCAACTCTCTGAGGAAGTTTCCTAGTTCAGTTCTTGGACAAATCCTCCTCTAGGCTGGCTGAAGATTAACTTTGATGGTGCTACGGCTTTGTCCCAAGCTGGGGCTGGTGTGATCATAAGGAATCATTTGGGGGTTCTTCTTGTTGCTCGATCTATTAATCTTGCTACCTGCACTCCTTTGGAAAGTGAAGCCTGGACCCTTTTGGAAGCTTTGAAATTAGCAGCTGATTTGAATATGGATCATATTATTTTTGAGAGAGATGCGCAAATTGTCATCAATTCTCAATTGGGGACATCACCTCACCCCCCTAGCGAATCAACATGATCTTAGCCAACTGCAGAGAAATCCTTACTAAATTCTCCCAATACTCAATGAAGTTTACTAAGAAGTTTTGCAACAAGGCTGCCCATAAACTAGCAAGACATGCAACTTCAATTTTTCGCCCTTGACCTGGTCGGAGTGTCCTTTTCTTCCACAAGTGATTGATTCTGACTGTATTCACTGAGTATTTTGATTGAAATTTTTCCTTTTGGTGTCAAAAAATAAATAATTTAGAATATAGAAAAGAATGATAGTTAGCAGGCCCCAAAGAAAGGAAAACAACTAGGATATTGTTAGGTGGTGATTGGCTATCTCATCAAGCAGAAACAAATCCTGGACCCTTAGATATTTGGTTATGAAAGATTATTAGCATGCAAATGGATTCCAAGATCATCCACTAGACTGGCTGACTCCTTAGCAATCTAAGGGGTAACAAGGATAGAACAAGAACGGAAGGTTGGCTCAACGTTGAACTTGTAACATATTTATTGGGACTTGATCCGATAGGCACACATTGAGTGAGCACTTTATAAATATTCTAATAATTGTTAAAAGTTGTCTTTAACCTTTTGAAGGGTAAGTTGAGAATATTTCAAGGGACAGGTAAAAAAAAAATTGAAAATGTTCATTGGCATGAATGACATGCCTACCTGATCTGGACTCATATTTATGCACTAAATATATATACTTGTAACTTTGTAAATGGCATCCTTTGGCTGTCTTTACTGATCCTTTTCCATTACAGTAATCTGCAATGGTGGGGTTTCCTCTTCTTTTTACTTTATCACTTAAAAAATTCTCAGATTATTGTTGTTGATCAGGAAAAAACATAAAAACTTAACATTACTATTTATATAGTGAACTTGCAAATGGACTACATCAGTTGATAAAAAAATCATAAAGTTATAGATTTCACAATTTTATGTAGAAAGAAAATCTTTACCCTTACATTCAATAAAATTATAATTTTCCCAAGAATTGCCTATTATGGATGTCATCAGGTAGAAGTCATGGTTGTGTGAACCAAGGAGGGGATCAGGAGTTAGAATTTTTGAATGTCCATCGAACCATGTTGCAAACATACTATTGAAAGTGTGCTAACTAGTTGATATTTAATCATGTTGACCATCTCAAATTTTCTGATTATTTGAGCCATTAGTAGTCTTCCTAATTGCAAGTTTGTTCTCTTAACATAGAAATGGTATTTACCAATAAAAAAGCATATGAATGCTATTTGATTACATACCTATAACATCAAATATATTCTAAGGACAAGTTAAAGTTAGAAAGAAATATGACAGTGCAATTGTGCTTACATAGTCCTATGATTTACATAAATAGAAACATATTGTTTTTAGTCGGCACCTATTTATTAGGGTCCAGAAACATGACATCAGTGACTTCTTGTTTTTGGGTTCCCTGTATACTACAATCTTCATACTAGGAGGTAAGAATCCCTCAGCAAAACATGTTGGTAGTGTTATCTATAGTACTAGTTCAGACATGCACAATCAAAAATAGGGGAAGGCTAGAGGTGTAAATCGGGCCGGGCTGCTCGTTGCCCGGTATGATTTTGGACTGGCCCAGCCCGGTACGGCATGACAACCCACAGGCTGTGTTAGGCTTGGCATGATGGTCCATGCCGTGCTGGGCATGGGGTTTGAAGTCCATGGACCGGCACGGCACGGCACGATCAAGTAGGCCATGGTGCCCGCAGCCCGCATGTCGGTACGGCCAAGCCCGCAGCATAGCCCAACATGGCCTATATATACTATTTATACATACATATATATGTATATATAAAATATTTATATATATAATATATTATATAAATTATAGTTATATAATAGTATATAGTATATAATATATTAATAAACTAAACAATTTTTTTCAATTTTATTTTACTAATTTATTTAGTTATTGTATATATAAGTAATTGTATACATCAAAATTTATATAAAATTAAAATTTTAAGTTTTTTTTTTATTTTTTAAAATAAATAAGCAAAAATAGCTTTGTCCCGGTACATGGCCCGATTTGGGCCAAGGCTTGGCCCATGGGCCAACCCGACCCTCAGCACGACACAGACCCACGCGGGCATGGGTCATGGGCCGTGTCAGGCCGACCCCCAAAATTTTCACTGGAGAAGGTAGCACAGCCCATAACAACCCATGGGCCAACACAACACAACCCGCACTGCAGACCACGAGAAACAAGAAGTATGAAGAATTCAATTGGATGACTTTTTATAGAAGGGGTAGATGATCACTTCATCGTTGAGATAATTAAAGTTCTTGGTTAAAATGTCCTTCAATCCACATAAAACTTATAACATCAGAAATCTAATCGAATATTTGATTTATAAATCTAATTGAAATGCCCATGTATGTGCATCGGGAGATAACTGGCAAATTTTGTTGGAATCATATCGCCATCCATCATGGTAGAGAAAAAGGGAGTGATGGGACTCCCGGTGTTAAAATTAGAACTAATTTTTTATTTAATAGTGACTCCATAATAAGGCAATCTCGATAAGTTGGAGAGGAGAGAGGGAAGGTGTTAGACACCCTCTCTCTCATTGATGCAAATGACATTCCCCAAAAGTGTGGTAGACCTTTCGATAAATGCAATAACTCATTGCCTATGGATATGAACTGTCTTAGAGATGTTCTGGACTATGGTGAGCTAAACTTTAAATGTGCAAGAACTCACTTTCGGTGAGCATGAACCAAATCTGAGAGCCTCTTCGACTCTAGTAAATTTTCTAAATATACAAGAACTCACTTTTGGTGAGTATGAACCAAGTTCGAGAGCCTCTTCGAACTCTAGTAAACTTTCTAAATGTGCAAGAATAAGTACATTTAATGTGCAATCATTAAAATTTTCTCATATTGTAAATCCTTTTTATTTTCTATATATATATATATATATTGAGAAGTCTAGCACCAGATTCAGTAGTGACACATGTTTTGCACTATTTGGTTTTCTATTTTCTATATGATGATGCGCATTTTGGTAATTCCTAGTTGAAAGGTGGCTCGGACGCTTAGCTGAACAGTTCCTAGTTGGAAGGTGGCTTGGATGCCTAACTGAACAATTTCTAGCTGGAAGGTGGCTCGGACGCTTAGCTGAACAGTTCCTAGTTGGAAGGTGGCTTGGATGCCTAACTGAACAATTTCTAGCTGGAAGGTGGCTCGGACGCTTAGCTGAACAGTTCCTAACTGGAAGATGGCTCGGATGTCTAATTGAATAATGACGTGATATATAATTTATTGGGGCGACCTGCAAAGAAACAATGTCAAAGTGCCTGGGTTTCTTTATCCAGGGTGGGCACTCCGATGCTTAAGTCAACGAGTTAGAGATTTTTTAGAGAGCTAAAAGCAAGAGAGATATAGAGCTATGAGAGCTAAATTGCGCATTCCTTCTGAGATTGGAGGTAAGGCCCTTATATAGGCATTGTTTGGCGTGGGCTTCATGCATCGCGTCCTAGATCTCCGGGAAGACGTGCCTAATCAGTCCGAAGTCCTCAGAGGTAGTCATGCACGTAGACCAGTCTTTGCGCCTTATTTAGTTTCCTCCAGAACATTTGGTGTGGGAGCCAACATCCGAGAGACCTGAGAGTGATGGGATGCATGCAGAATTGGTCGGCAAGCACGTCTCATATGTTGCCACTTGGACCTCAATTAGGTTGCCAATCCCTCAAGGAAGGTCACTCCTTACATCAAGGTCACTTCGGCCCTAGACAAGGTGTTGCTAGCGCCCTGAGTTGTTGACGAGGTTGCCAGCTAGGTTTCTACCAAGTCAGCGGAGGTAGGTCGCCAGGTCGCGGAGGCAGGTTGCTAGGTCGGTGGAGGCAGGTCGTCAGGTCAGTGGCGGAGGCAGGTCGCCAGGTCGACAGAGGTAGGTTGCCAGGTTGGCGGCGGAGGCAGGTTGCCATGTCAGTGGTACAAGCAAGTCGTTAAGTGAACAGAGGTAGGTTGCCAGGTTGGCGGCGGAGGCAGGTTGCCATGTCAGTGGTACAAGCAAGTCGTTAAGTGAACAGAGGTAGGTTGCCAGGTTGGCGGCGGTAGGTCATCAGGTCGGAAGAGGCAGGTCACCAGGTCGGTGGAGGCAAGTCGACAACGAAGGCAGGTTGCCAGGTCGGCAGAGGTAGGTCGCCAACTGAGATTCCATCATTTTGGCTAAGGAAAATCATCGCCTAGGTGGTGTCGGGATGTCATCCAACTATTCTGAAATACCATGTGTGATGATGTCAATGAAAGGCCAAATCTGCCCTCATCAGTATAGACACTAAGTTGAATTCAGAGAAGAAAATAGAGAAGAGACAAGCACACTGCAGAACCAAATAAGGATTCAGGCTTCCTTGTTCATCACCCAGAATTCAGACTGGAATCCAATAAATGGGGCGTTACTGGGATTCCCCTTCTTCACGCCTTTTTTTGGAACCTGCCACTACTCGAGAATGTCTAGAGGGACCTAGGTTAGATTGGCTGTGAACAGGGAAAGGCCTGAAGACTGAACCAGAGAATGCAAGGGGATGCAACTAAATAATGATCTAAAGTTCGAACTAGAGAATACAAGGGATGAATTGCAGTTCAGTCTGACCTCCTTCAGGCCAAAATCCGATGAATGGGGTGGTAATGGGGGTTCCCCCTTCACATCTTTCTCGTAATCAGTTCCTACATTAGAGGGGAAATGGATAGCATTGCCTGCAGGAGCCCCCTCTTATTCTCCGTTCAGAACTTCCACCAAAAAAACTAAAAAAAAAACAGTAGAGCAAATGATAGAATAACTGCGAGAGCGAACCTGCCTTCGTGACTAATCTGGGATGAAGGAGAGTTGGTTTCACTTCAAGCCCTAAAACGACACTCTGGCTGTGGATGACGGAGTTCTGGGGTGCCAATGACTCAACCTGAGAATCTCTTCGTGAATCAGAACTTGGTGGTTGGAGAAATCTTTGCTAGAGATGCCGGTGAGAGGAGCTATATGCAGTGGTGAAGCCCGTTGAAGGAGGCTGAGTCTTCCATGATTTGAAATTCAGTAATGGCGATGCTTCTTGGCTGCAATAAGAAAAAGATTTAAAAATGCAGGCTGATGTGGCAAGAATATTAGGGTGAAGGGGGCCGTTTCCCTAGGTTGATTTGATGCCTTGGGTCCATCCACCAACTCCTATTTATAGGGCTCAAGTAGGGATAGTTTAGGTATTTTTGGTGTTTGTGGGAAAGGTAGATATGTCCAAAAGGTAGGGGTATTATTGGGAAGGAAGGCATTTTGAGGGTGTTTAGGGGTAAAATGGTCCAAACGAGGTACATTTGGGGGTATTCTAGGAAGGATGATGTGTGAGAGTATTTTGGGTATTTTGAGGGTTTAGGAATAAAAAGGTCTTTGGAGGTATTTTGGGAAGGATGATGTATGAGGAGTGTTTTGTATATCTTAAGGGTTTTAGGGGTAAAATAGTCTAAATGAGGTAGATTTGGGGTCATTTTGGGAAAAATGATGTATGAGGGGTATTTTGGATATTTTGAGATTCTTGAGGGGGTTTTAAGAAAATATGTAACAAGTTCAAAGTTAAGCAACTTTTGGTTGCCCGGATTTACTTAGAAATGGCCATTGTGTTGATGTTATATTAGGGGTGCAAGTCAGGCGAGTTGGTCCGGGTTTATGATCAACCTAGGCCTGGCCCGAGCCCGTGGTCAAGTCCGATTTTCCCAACTTGAGGCCAGCCAGCCCGCCCTATATATATAATTGGGCCAGGCTCGGATCGGGTTCAGACTACCTAAGGCTAGGCCAGAGCGTAGCCTGAAAAATAGAAGAGCCCGACTTCTTGGGCCTGAGGACCAAAAATTCAAACCCATCCCGTGTAAAATTTCAAGTTGGGCCTGTCCAAGTTGCACCCTTATGTTTATATCACAAGAAAGTTGTGCAAACAAATGACAACTTGCAAAATAGAATCTTGCTTGGTTTAAAGGCTATGAATGGAGTTTCTATGTGAAATTTGGTAAGATTGGGTTTTTGAGAGTCCCAGATTAGTTGGGAGGGTCAAATGGACCTAAAGAGGCCTACATCTAGATGATTTATGAGATCATGATTCTTGAGTTAAAAAGATGAAATTTAACAAGCAAGGGTTTTGGAGTACCTGAAGTCTTTAAGGGACGTCGGATTAGTCGTGTAAAATGTCTAAAGAGTGATTAGAAATTTAAAGAATGTTAGTATCCACTTTTTGGGTGCTAACACCATATAAATGATGTACCTATCTCGGTAAGCCACTAGCCATAAAACTGCCAAACCATTAAACATGATTAGTTTGCGGGTGATTTAAATTAGATTATCAACGATGTGGAGGGGATAAAATATGGTCTACGTGAGGTATCAAATTTCTTGATGGAGCACCCCTTCTTACCTTGCCTCTTGATGAAGTACCCCTCTTCAAACCATTATGCTTCTAGAATTGGTCCAATTAGTATTAAGTATGATGCTTCATTTGGGAAACATTATTAAACTATGAAAGAAATTTGTTAGATGACCTGTTGGTAGGCCACCATGAGTGAGCATTATTAAACCATATAAATGAGGTGTTTCTTTCCTAGTCGGTAGGCCACCATGACAATTCCTTTTATAATGGCCTATTTGCTTATAAAAAGAATAACGATTTGATTTACTCCTTTGGCCAAGAGATGATGGTCCATCTTCATCCTCTTCCCTTCGTCTATTTATAGTTTTATACATAGTCAACCGGGTTTACTCTTTAGTTTGGGAGGTTAATACACCGACAATTTAACGCTGCTGGCCAAAATTTTTCACCAGGAATTGCATGGATATGATGGCTATGCACTCTCAAATATGTAGACCGATGAAAAGTCGTGTCACAATAGTCTTATACCTTTTTCTCTAGTGTACATGAGGACGGTTAAAGCATGTATATATGGGAGTCCACTTATATCCCACACACAACATGTGCAAGACTTGGCATTCATCTTTGTGATGTGATCCATACAGTCCCTACCTTGGATTTGATATTCATGTAGACCGGACCAAAACACTCGTACATGTCTATATAAATATGTAGTTGAAATTAAATTATGTTTCATGATAAAATACAACATTAAGATAAAGTATACACTCTCTCAAGTATATAAATAACATACCTTGATTTTTTGACCCTTCTATTAATTATCCTTTGTATCTTGAGAAGAAGCATACCTTCAAATGCATATGTTTTGCTATATCTTGAAATAACCTTTTTCCCTCAATTTTTTCCGTATCTCATCTAACAATGGAACAATTGATTTAAACCTCACAACACCAATCCAAGCATTAAATGACTCGATCCAATTGTTTGTTATACCATCAAACTTAACTTTTAACATTAAACCCATGTCTAAACTAATACTCTTTAGGAACTTTGTTAAGCCATTCATCTACCTCTTTGCGTAAGAACTTCACATGTTCCATTTGGTGTTCAAAATCTTGTCTAGTATAGGCCCTACCTATAGCCCACGCACATAGCATCCTTTAGTGATTTTCCCTTAAACTACCTCTTAAAATTGTTGTACATGTGTCTTAGGCAAAACCTTTGCATTGACCCAGGCATACACATGAGAATTGAGTTTACGATTCTTTACAAATAAGCACATATGTTATTGACGAGTTATCAAAAATTAAGACATATGCAAGAACATGATAAATACATACCTATTGTCTATCAAGCATAAACGCCCATTATAATGCATCATCAATATCTAAAGCATACGCATACAGTAACTCAGTTAAAAACCATATCCAACTGTCTTTCGTTTGCAATTCAATAGCACAATATGCAATGGGGTATATGCCATTCTTACCATCAAGGCCAGTCCCACCAATATCACCTGTTTTCATGTGACATCTATCCAAACCAACAATATTTCTACATCCATCTAGAAAGTTCATCCTCATTGCACCTATACAATTGAACACCCTTTTAAATGTACCAATTGGATTTCCTTCTTCATTGGAAGCATGAATCTTCACAATTATGCCAAGATTTTTTTCCCTTAATGATTCACAATACATAGGAAGCTTCCTATATGACTCTTCAAGACTTTCTTGGATCCTTTCAAGGAATTTTGTTTTAGCCTATATATATTTTTGGGGTGAACATCAATGTCAAATAACTTTTGATCCTCAATATGAAGGGTCCCAACTGGCAAATCAAGGCTAGTTCATAAATGCTCCTATATTTTGTCCTGAATCCATGTGTTTGTTGCCTCTTTGCTTCTAACAACCCAAACACAAGTGTGTTCACCCTTTACAGTCTTAACTACAAAGCTAATGCCATCATGGGATGGAGAATCATGTATCCTCCAAGTACAACCATTTACGGCATAGCTAGTAGTAAATTGAGACTTCTCATTTTTCTTTCAAACTATTTCTATATCCTCCAATACACAATATTGACTAATAGCCTTTTTGAATTCTATAGTATTAACAAATTGCATACCAGCATGAAAATCAAATTCCCTATTCAAGTATGTAGATTTCGCTTTCTTTCCATCACTTGTGGGCTCATAACAGGGTAACCTACCGTCATCAACATATGGCTGTCCACTTTCATTTCCATCACTTCTAGCCTTCATCATCACTAACAACATAGTAGTTCTAATCCTTGAATCCTTTTATCATAATCTAAGGGCAAAAAATCCTCATCTTCCAAATCTTCTCCCTGTGCATTCTTTAAAATTTGTATATTACCAATACCATCCTCATTATTTATCTCAACACCCTTGGCCAATGAAGTACCTGCTACTTATGTAACAAAGAAGACTATCTCTTGTAAATCTCTATGTATATCAAACATTATCATGAGATCATTATCACAAGTAAGGCTGCATTTGGAAACGATGCAAATGGAGTGTAAATCCCAGTTTAGGATAAATTTATACTTTGGTTCACTTTTGCCTATGTTTGGCAATATTACATTTATGTATTGACAAATGACAAAAAGCATATTTTCCGATGCATATTTACATTGACAATAATATGTAAAAGTACATCAATTAAAAAGAAGTAAATTTGCATTCAAGTGGGCTTTTGATAAAAAAAGACATGCTTTATTGGAATTTGTGTTTGCATCCATTACAGCTAAAAGTTTATTTGGTAAGAAAATAAATTCATTAGTGCAAAACTAACCCAACTTTACAATTTATAGAAAACCATTTTACACTCTACATATTTACATTTACACTTGTTTGCATCGTTTTTGATGGAGGGTGATTTGGCCCGACCTCGCAGCACGAGTACACGTGGGCGTGACCTTGCTCAAACAATGACTCAGCGTGACAGCGCAACTGACATAACCGCAACTCGGGGGGAGGGTCTCACCGAGTTGAGCTCGGCAACTAGGCGGATAAACTACTCGCCAGAAGCCATCTTGCCTGCATCAACTCCCCAGGGTTAAGGCACTTCGGGGTGCCCCGAGGTCGGGGTACCCTGACCTTTCTAGATACCCTAGCTCCTTCCGATGGACGTCAGGCCACTCCCCGACGGGAGCTCACCGACCCACCTCTAGACACCCCGGGGTGAAAACACTTCGAGCCAGACAGCTCAGCATAGCTTGCCACAGGCAGCTCGCCGCCTATGGGATAGCCCGGCACAGGGTAACTCGCGAAAGGGTAGTTCGGCGCACCGCTGAAAGATCTTCTGCCCGACCGCCGTACTCGAAAAACCTGGGGACAGCGTCACGCCTGCCACCTTTAGAAGGTGCCTTACACCTGATAGGCACGTACCCTGT